CCCAGGCTGGAGTGCAATGGCATGATCTCGGCTCACCACAACCTCCGCCTCCTGGGTTCCAGCAATTCTCCTGCCTCAGCCTCCCGAGTAGCTGGGATTATAGGCGCCCAACAGCATGCCTGGCTAATTTTGTATTTTTAGTAGAGATGGGGTTTCACCATGTTGTTGAGGCTGGTCTCAAACTCCCAACCTCAGGTGATCCGCCTGCCTTTGCCTCCCATGTGCTGGGATTACAGGCATGAGCCACAGCACCCTGCCAGGGCCAGTATCTTTTAATGTGAATGAAGGTAGTTATCAAAAACTGCTCTGGAAATTGTATTTTATTTGTAAAGAATGCTTTTGTTTGACATTGAAGTAGATTTTTAATTTCAATTATTATTTGAGTAAAGAAAATAAAGGATTTAAAAGAAATTTTGAATATCATATTTTTAATCAATAGTAAGTACAAGACACTGATAATGTTAGCTGGAGTGTTGGATGTAGTTTAGGGGTTTACAGTGACATAAGAGGGAAAATGTTTAGGCTGTACTGTAGAGATCTTAAAATTTTGTATTTAAGTTTATAGATAATCAGTGGAGACCTTAGCTCAAAGTATAAAGTGGCTGAAATGTCCCTTTGAGAAAGTTAATCAGATAGGGCTATATAGGACAAATTTGAGCCAGGACCAGTATGTTAGCAGGTTACTGTAATAAAATTCTTGACAAGTAAGCTTGCGAATTCTAAGTAATTGGTAACGTGCTTGAAGTGGTAAATAGTTTGTTTTTCTGCCTCTTAGCAGATAAATATTGTATTGGACAATATTTAACTTGACTATTGGGTAAGAGTCCATAAGATCATGATAATACAGGTCATATTAGCGTTAAAGATTTATTTTATACCTTCTGAGAGTGAAGATGGAAGAATTTGACTCAATTATAAGACAGAAACTACCCAGTTTATCAGATTCAGGTTAACTGTGCATTTGTTTTCTGCATTTTGTTCTATAAATTTTCTGAATGTGTTTGTATCACTGCTTCTGTCCACTTTATTTTAATTAGTGGGTTTCATTTCTGCCTTTTACTCTTCATTCAGGCTTCTTCAGAACAGGTAGCCATGTTCAAATGCTTCTTCGAATGTCTAGAGCCTAGAGCATAGTATAACACATAGTAGACCTTAATAACCATAATGATTCAAGAGGGATTTCATGTCTTTCGTTTTGTGCCATTTCCATTTTTAATGACCCAAAAAGTAATTATTACTTTCAAGGAAATGAAAGTTAGAAGCAGCAGCACAGATGTTAATATAGGTCATATCAGGATGTGCTGTTTATTAGTTGTATGAACTTGAAAAACTCATTCAACCTCTCTGAGCTCCAATTTTTTCACCTTTGAAAAGATTTGAATGCATGCATTAAGTGGTTTATTTATATATTAAAATAGAAGCTACCACTTATCAAGTGCTGCCGCGCCCTGTGACTATGCTAACCTCATATACTTTATCTTACTTAATCTTTTTACCCTATGAAATGGATGTTGTTGTTATCCCCATTTTCCAGGTCAGAGAACTGATCCTTAGAGAAGTCAAGTAACTCGCTCATGGACAAGGACATATAGGTAGAAAATGAAGTCAGAATTCAAATTCTGATCATTTTATTCCTGAACCCATGGTCTAGATTAACCATTAAGGTTAATAATATATGCCTAGCATAAAGTATATTTTCAACAAATGATAGCTATAATAAAGCTGGTTTTGATGCGGAGGGACAATTTTTAAAATCTAATTTTGATATAGTAGGTGAGAAGTAGATCTGGCAATCTGTGAATATAATCTAAGGCTGTTCCCCTGGTGTTTTCCAGCCTTATATTTTTCCTTCATTCACCCTCTTTCATTCAGATTTACTTGTCAGTTAAAATTACCCTTTGAGAGAAGTAAATTAATAAATCACAACATTAAAAAAACCAGTGAATCAATAAATATTTGTTGATTAAATGTTCATGAAACTATTTCTGGTCCACGGCATTGCTTTAGAAATAGCTTTAATTGCAACATATATTTCATGAAGTTCATTAATTAAGAATTAAATTGAAATCTTGCTTTTCTTTTCGGTAGTATTCTCACTATTAAGCTTTCCCTATTGTTGAGGTTTCTAGAGGAAGAAAGTATAATAAAATAGAGAATTTTAAAGTAATTTTTGTTATTTGCAGGCATTTAGATCATCACAAACTGTGGGATCCCAATGAATTTGCAGTTCACTGCTTTAAAATTATAATGTATTCCATTCAGGTAAGGTTTGATTAACTATTTACTATATATAAGTAATTTTGGTTCTGTATAGATAAGCACATTATCAAACAGATGTGGAAAGCTCTAGGATATAAATCATTCCTCTTAATTTAGCTCTTTTTTCTCATACATTTTCATTTACTACTTATTTTCTTATTTGCTAAGATGAAAAGATAGATCTAATAAGGATAACTAAGTCATTCTGTCATGGTTCCTCTCAGAGCCAAGGCCAACACAGACAAGCTTCTTGACAGTCTCCTGCTATCCCCTGATTCATTGAGGGTGCTGTGCTGTCTTTTAGGGGTTCTGAATTGTCACAGGGATATCTGATCTCATAGCCTACCTTTCCTGGATGGCCCCTAAGCTTTATATCTAGTCTCCTATGTATACAACCATTTAAATGAGTAGCTTTGGGCACTGGAGAGCTGTAGATGTGCCTGGGACTGCTGCTGGCCTCAGTGTGCACTCACCTTTCCAGATGCTTACCTTCTTATGGAGTTTAGACTAAGGGACTTTCCTTTCTTGTCGCTTTATCTGGATATCAGAAAGTCTTATATATAGCTGACCCTTGAATGACATGAGTGTCAACTGTGCAGGTTCACTTACAGTATAGATTTTTTTTCCCAACAAAATGCAGATCGAAAATCTATTATTTGTTGGATTCAAAACCCCACATATATGGGAGCTGATTTTTTTCCTCACAGGACCAACTGCAGGATTTGAGTATGTGCAGATTTTGGTGTGGGGTGGGGCTGGAACCTATCCCCAAGTATATCAAGGGATAGCTATAGTCTAGTATTTTACTATTGTGTTATGACAGGATTTGGCAATTTGGGAAAACGTGTAATATTTCTGGAAATGGTAGTATATACTAGAATAGAAATTTCTGTTTATTACCATTGTACAATTAAAACTTTGGATAGCTTTGATTGTTTTAATTGCCATTTACCATAAACTTGGTGTAGGTATCACTCTTAGGTAATATTTCACCCTCTCTCCATAAAACAAACTAGCTAGTCTTGACTAGGATTTATATCCTTAAGGGTTTACATAGACATAGTTTCAAATATAGTAAGGCATTTGTGGTAAAGGGAAAATATTTTACTTAAAGCCTATCTTTTATGCTACATTTATTTCTTGAGGGTAACAAGATGTGATTAAGAGTTGTACTCTGAGATCAGACAGAATTCACTTTTAGGCTCTTTCTTAATAGTTTCTGCATGACCTTAGACAAATTACTAAAACGTGCCTTATTTATACTGTGAAGGGCATGGAGTAATTGAGGTGAATCTACCTCCTAGAACTGTTTGCGTATATAATACATATAAAGTACTTAGAAGAGTGCCTGCTTCTGGTCACTTCTGAATGAAATACTCTTTTGTCGTCATTGTTGTTATGTTCAATGTTATAGTCATGTATTAGCTCAGGAGTCACCAATTGAAAAGTAGTAATAATAACTAATACATATTAAGCATTTTGTCATACAGTAGACACAATTTGGGTGCTTTATACAAATTAACTTACTTAACTGCCCCAAGAATCCTATGAATAATTGTTATTGTTTAAATATTATAAATGAGAGAAACTGAGTTACAGGGAGATTAAATAATGCTCTCTTAATCTGAAAGTTATTTAGCTATTAAATGATAGAGTCAGAATTTGAACTTGGGCAAGTTTGACTCCAGGGCTTGTGTACTTAACCACCACTGTATTACGTTGTGTCTTAAAGCAATTCATCTGTTAGCATTGCTTTAAACTTCAGTGTAAGGGCAAATTTTACCATAGATAAATGAAACCTCAGTACACGTGACTTCAACATACTGTATAACATCTTCGCACTTTCCTTCCTTTCATTCCATATTCTTTTGTTTAATACATGATATCATTCTTGAGTTGTTCTTTATAAGTAGAACGAACACATGCCCTGGTTTGCTTAGTGTAGTCATACTTTATAATTATTGACAATACCTCCTTCACTCTCTGCAGTGTCCTCATTTGGACAATAAATCAAACAGCTACTCTTACCTATAAAGGCAGACTAATAACTGCACAAGGTTCACACATCAGAAGCGTGCAGCTTCCTGGACAAGAAGTTCAGTTTCAGGTTTTGTGTGTGTCTTCCTGCCTAACATTCATCTATTTTAACATAGCTTTAAATGAAAAAAAGTAAAGATGAAAACACAAACTTAGTTTTTACCTTGGGTGGTTTTAAAAGTAAAAGTAGATGTGTATTATGACAAAAATTTGAGAAATACCTAGAGATGAAATCTGTTACTTGATAGAAAAGGAGGGAAACTTTTTGCATTTCAGCAGAGTAGCCATTATGCATAGGGCACTTCTGCTTCTTATCAAACCACACATTCCAAAGGAAAGAAAGTAACCAGCCTGAAAACAGAGTGGGGGGACCTTTCTGAAGGCAAATACAGACAGAGCGATTGAGAGCCACAGGCGCTTTTTACAGCTTGTGCTTAATAGTAGACTGATCCTTACTCATGAGTGTAAGTGTAGGTTTTAAAAAAACAAAACTTTGCTACTCTTCAAAAACAAAAAAATCTCTTCACTGGAATTAAAAATAAACATTTTTTTGGCTATCCTTTTTCTGTTTTAGGCCCCAACATCATTTACTACAGTTGATCAGATTTATTTATATGTCATAAAATTGCCTTTGTTAATTGTACATCTTTTGATATCTCCGTGATTTAAATTTTGTCAGGTACACATCGATAATATTTTCATTTTGACACTAGCTCTTGATTAGGTGAGTGTTTTGACTGTTTAGATTGTTAGGTGTCCATGTTAAATAGTATTTATCTAGTTTGGGTATGGGAAAAATACTGTGAATGTCATAATTTATGTTTTTTACAAAATTTTGTACTATTATCAAATCATAAAAGTGTATAAATGTACTTTGTGAAATTACAGAGAATATAAAGATAATAAAAATTTCTCATAAATCGCTTTCTCAGAGGTTGCCAGTGTTAATCTTTTTATATATAATTCTAATTTACTTTTTAAAAACTAGATTGAATTTTATTAAACATAGTATTGTGCAGTATGCTTTTTTTCACCCAGAATGTCATAAATATTTTCCAGCATCTGTGTTTATTCTTCAAAAGAATGACTTTGTATTGTGGCTATTTATTGTCTCATAACATTACCACCAGTCACTAATTGGACATTTATGTGTCCGGTGGTTTTTTTCAGTCTTAGGAATTCTGCCAAGGTACATGTACTTGTTTATACATCTTTGTACTGTTTTGTCTCCTTCAGGCTCAGTATTCTCACCATGTGATCCAGGAGATTCTAGGACACCTTGATGCTCGTAAAAAAGATGCTCCTCGGGTTCGGGCAGGTATCATTCAGGTTCTGTTAGAGGCTGTTGCCATTGCTGCTAAAGGTTCCATAGGTGAGTGCCAGTAAATAAAATGTGCATTAATCTGGTTCAAAGTGTTCTTTCAGTAATTATAGCAGTGTATGAAGAACTCTTTAAGAATATTTCTATACGTTTTTAGATGTACAATAATTTTTTCTTTTTGAAATTTGGGTTTGTGCAATTATTTTCAGGCTTCTTTAGTGCACAGTTAAGTATTTTCCTCCACATCAATTCCTCCTCCCTTTCCTTCTTCAAGGATACTCAAGGTTTTTGAGTATTCACTATATACTGAACATTGGGAGAATGCAGAAACAAGAAACTGATAGTGTACTTGTGATTTGACAGCTCCACCTAATACTGTAATATGTGGCAAGCTTTGATCACATATCACAAAAAAAAACCAGGGTTTATAGAAGGGAGGGAAAATGGATTAGCATGAGCAAAATTTTATGTGGTCCTTTTTGGGTAGAATGTATGGTATTAGTTTAGAAATCAGAGAAGTGGCTTTAAAATTAAGTCGTAGCCAAATTGTGGACATATTCCTTTAGCTGATTAATAGCCCTTAAAGATTTAATCTTCATGAGAAATGTGCTATAGGATAATTTTTCTGGCAGCAAAATGTAGGGCACATTAGAAATAACGAGTTAGTGTCATTGTATCCATGAGGGAAAGAACTTGCCCTTGCATGGAAGCAGCAGGAATAACAATGTCAGGTTGATAGGATTTGATAATGGGTTAATGAGAAGTAGGGGTAGTTCAAAACTTATGATATTATACCTACATGTAACTACAAAAATGGAATAGTGCATATTAGAAATACAGAAGTTTGAAGGAGAATCTGGTTATGGTTTCTTTGCTTGAAACACAAAGTGGAACTATATTATGTAATGATATAGTCATCCCTCGGTATCTGCAGGGGATTGGTTTAAGGACCCCTGAGAATGCCTAACTCTGCGGGTACTCAAGTTCTGTGTATAAAATGGTGTAGTGTTTGCATATAACCTATGCACACCCTCCCATATACTTCACATCATCTTTAGATTACTTACAGTACCTACTGCAGTGTAAGTGCTATGTGAATAGTTGTTACACTGTATTGCTTTTTTATTTATTTATTTTTTTATTGTGGGATTTTTTTTTTCCCGAATATTTTCAGCCCATAGTTGGTTGAATCTGTGAATCCAGAAGTGCAGATATGGAGGACCAACTGTATTTTTTTGTTCTTTTATTGTCAAATAAAGGTGGGCATCTTGGATATGAATTTTCTATTTTATCTTGTAACTTAGAGAGATAAAGCAGGTTATTTAATTGGAAAGTTATTTAATTGGAAATATGAAATAAAACATAGATGATACATTGAATCATCACATTGATTAATGTCTACTGTGTGTTAGGTACCGTGTGCTAGGCTCTATACATTTGAAGAGGCATTTAAACATGGCTACCTGTCCTGATGAAGCTTGAATCAAGAGTAAAAGGCAGAAATGAAACCCACTCATTAAAATAAAGTGGACAGAAGCAGTGATAGAAACACATGCAGAGAATTTATAGAACAAAAAGCAAGAGAACAAATGCAGTTAACCTGAATCTAATAAATTAGGTAGTTTCTGTCTCATAATTGAGGCATATTCTCCCTTCCTCAGTCTCAAAAGATACAAAATAAATATTTGATGCTTCTGTGAGCTATATTATATAATTTCGTGGATTCTTACCCAGCGGTTAAGGTAAATATTGTCCTAGTACACATTATTGTGAACAGATAAGATTAAATAGGTAGAAAGTTTTTGGTAATTCTTGTATGCACATACACATTTTTTAAGGGTAGAACCAGAGATTCAAACAGTGAGTTGCTCATAAATGCCCAGTGTTTGTTGGTATAATGAGGGGGCTTTCTTAATTATTTCTCATTTACTCTTTTTTAAAAAAATGAAATAGTTAATAAATTACTATGGATTTTTGACTAGAAAATTACAAAAACAATCTGTGAAGAACTAAGATAATTGACTTCAAATATGCAATACTAGAAACATGTATCTTCTCACATAAGTGATCCCTTATAGGTCCAACAGTGCTGGAAGTCTTCAACACCCTTTTGAAACATCTGCGTCTCAGTGTTGAATTCGAAGCAAATGATTTACAGGGGGGATCTGTAGGCAGTGTCAACTTAAACACAAGTTCCAAAGACAATGATGAGAAGATTGTGCAGAATGCTATCATCCAAACAATAGGTGAGTACATTTCACTTTTCAAAACTGTCGTATAAAACAGTGATAGACAAAGCTCTCACATAAAGTCCTGGACTATTATAGTACATTTGTCAAAGATGAATGATAGCTTAAACTTCTGAAAACTTTATTTTCGAAAATAAGCAAGCATGACAATGGAACAAAGAACACTATGTTGTTCCATTAAATCTGCAGGACACGAATTCATCTACTGTTAACATTTTATGGCATTTACTTCTTCATTTGCTTTTACTCTGTCATGCCTGCATCTCCTCCTCCCTTCTCTCTCTCCCTCTCTGTTTCTTTTTCTCCCTATGTGTGTCTCTTTGTGTATGTATGTATATGTGGGAATACACACATACACATGCGTATTTTTTTCTAAACCACGAGATACAGGAAGTTGCATACATCATGGCCTATTACTACTACATACTTTGATGTATTTTTCTAAAAAATAAATGTATTTTTTAATATAACCAGAGTTAAATTGTCAACATCACTAAATTTAACATTGATCCAGTACTTGAATCAACCCTTCCTATTTCAGTTTTATCAGTTGACCCAATAATGTACTATATTGACTTTTTTCCTTAAGTCCAAGATTCAGTCTAGGATCATATATTGCATTTAGTTGTAATATTTCTTTAAGTCCATTAGTCAGGAACATTTCCATTATGACATGGACATTTCTTAAGAGTAAAGTCCCCCTCCCACTTTTTTAAAAATAGAAAGTTCTTCATTTGGTTTTGTAATGGTATTTCCTTGTAATTAAATTCAAGTTAAATATTCCTAGCTGGAATACTACATACGTTATATGTTCTTCTCAGATTAGCACATCCAGAGGTACACACTGTAACTTGCTCCTTTTTCGTTAAATTAATTTTGATCACTTAAGGCATTATTATATTCCTCCACTGTATGGTTTTAGTTTTTTCCATTGTAAATAATAAGCAACCTCTGAAAAGGCACTTTCAGACCATGGGGATATTCTGCTTTTCATCCAGACTTAAGGTTAGATTTAGCATTCGTTCATAATTCTTGTCTGAATTAGTCTTTATCATGATGGCTGCAAAATGATGGTTTTTAAACTCTAGCGCTCCTTCCAAAACTATCAGTTGCCTCTCAATGTTCTCAATGTTCTATTGTAAGCAGGAGCCCCCTTTTCTACCTTTCTATGTATGTCAGAATGCATGTATTTGTTTATTGGTATGAACTCAATGGATTTGTATTTTCATGGTTTATAATTCATTACTATAGTTAATCATTTTGATGCTCAGATTGTCCCGGATTTGGCTCATGGGAGCTCCTTCAAGACATCCCCCAACCCCCCGAACCTTTTTTTTTTTTTTTTTTTTTAAAGCACTGCCTTACTTGGGTAAGCTGTTCCAGACGAATTCTATACTTTCTGCCCCAGCCCTGGAATTAGTCATTTCTCCAAAGGAGCTGTGGTTGCTTTTAGTGGGTAATAGTATTAGAGACTAATATCTGGATGCTAATATCTTGGACTTTAATATCGTATACTTTTCTTTCTTTTTTAAATTTTCTTTTTCGTTTTTGTCCTGACGCTGGTCAAAGTACAAAGAGTGAAGAGCTTCCTTAAGAAAACAGCCATGAGAATTCACATTTCTGGAAATGAAATAATCTGACTGTGTATAAATACAAATTCAAGCAAGCAAGCTATTTTTCTACTTTAATCTTTTTCTTTCAGTATTTTTTTCAGGATAGCCAGATCATATTTTAATATAACCACCTGCTTGCTATGATAATTTCACAATTTCACAATTGTATTCCTGGGGTTTAGTACCTAATTTCTAACCTAATAATAGTTTCAATTAATAGTAGAGTCATATATAAATTTCTTCTGAAACTAGGCTTATGCCTTTTATCTGGGTAAGTTTTTCACTTCTGGGCTATTTATTTATAATAATCCTTTGGGATACTTAATACAGACTTTCTCTTGGTCATCTTGTTTTTAAAGTTTTATGGATATGCATACATGGATTGTGCATCTCCATTGACACCACCTATTTATTTATTGGACATATGTGTACACCATTTCTTGTACTAGGGCTTCATGATACATGGGGCTCTCACCTTGTGGAGGCATTTGTTGATCTGCTTGGAGTAGTACCTCTATTTCATCTAGTTGCCGTCTCATCACATGTCTAGAAATTGTGCTCATTAAGGAAAATACCCAGGAGTGTCTCATTCAACACACTAACACAGAGTAGGCACTTAAGATTTTGAGACTGACTGAAAAGACAAAATGTAATAAACTCCAGCGTTACCATGGAGTCATAATAAAGCATAGACCTTCTAGTTATTGCTTAAAACAATTAGTATTAATGTGTAGTGAACCTCGGTTCTGTGGTGACTTTTACATTTATTTGGATTATTTATAATTTTTTGTGATATTTGAGGATGTTAAATCAGCTAATCTTGATTTCACAGAATCGATTTAAATGCTTTAATGACTTCTAATTAATTCAGTGTTACTGTTTCACTCTAGAATATTTAATGTATTGTTTCTTAAGTATTTTATTATAAAGCGTATATACAGAAGACTCAAGCCATATTTCTGTGATACAACACATTTAGAATAACATGTAAGAATTTAAAAAAGAGAGGAAAGAAATGCAGTGTGGCACAGTAAGATTTCTCTTTTAAAATCAAACTTTAACAAAAATCTGGTTTCCTTAATAGTTTCCTTTTTAATTTCTCAGTATCTGGCAGTTGTCAGATCATGTGGTTATTCCTGTCGGTGGGCCATGGAACAGGGCTACTGTAGCTTTTGCACTTCCAAGTTATCAGCCTGTTGGCCAACACCTCTTTCTTTTAAAATAGTGAAGAACATAGCTACCTGCTTTGTTCTTTTCTTCTGGACTCATTTCTGTTCAGTAGTTCAAATACAAACAGTAGGTGTAGAGAATGAGATGCTTTTGGTGACTCTCTGTCCTTAGAGCTAGTCATATTGAAGACTCCTACCCAATTTTAAGTTAAAAAAATAAAGCAATTCTAAAGCATACATTAGTTGCATTTCTTTCCTACTGTTACTATTTTTAGGTCTTTAATAGTCTTGTGTCTAATTAACATCAGATATAGTGGACTCAGTTGACCGTATGCTTGGGAGACAAAAATAAGAGTTTTTCCTTAGGACAATGGTTCTTAACTTTGTTGCACATTGAAATTACCTCAGGATCTTAGAAAAGCACTGATGCTTGGACTACCGAAACCCCCAGATATACTGACTTCATTATTTTGGTATGTAGCCTATGCATCAGCATGTTAAAAGCTCCCCGAGGTAATTCTAATGTGCAGCAAAGCTTGGGAACCACTGAATTAGAGAATACTATTCCACACATTTGAAAAGCATGAAGAATGACCTTGAATCAGAGATACAAATGTTGTTGAATACAGGGAAGTATGATAGTGCTTGTTAACTCCAAACTTTTACTGTAGTTAGGTGCTGTGGTAAAGAGAACTGCAGGGTACTTCATGTCCTTGTGGTAAGAACTGACTTGTTTGAAACAGAAGGTCAGTGTCCAGTTTTCTGCAAGACTGGGAATGTATCTAGTTGTATGGAAGAATTATAGAATAATAATAATAGCGTAGGCTTTGGAAATAAATAACCCTTATCTCAGGCCCTAATGTTAGCTGTGTAATTTTTTGGTAAGAGTTCTTAACTTCTCTAATCCTCATTTCCACAAGAGGAAACTGAGACAAATAAGAGAACCTAGACTCATAAGGTTATTTTGAGGATCCAAGTACAAAATAATTTCTTATTTCATAAATATGTGTCCTGTAAGTGTTAACTACAGTAATATACTTTAAGGAGATGGAGTCATGTTAAGGTTATGAGATTTTTGACTGCTAATGTACGTGGTTGTGGGAAATGACTTTTACCCCTAGGTCCAATCAAAATGATGAATAGAACAGTTTGAATTTGTATGAACAGATCATTAACTCCAGTAATAGAAGCTGAACAGTTATATTGAAAAGTCAGCTTATTCTTAAAAAATACTAAAAATGCAGAAAGTTTCTGTAATGACAACATTGAATTTTAAGAAAGGAACATAACAGCCATGATTTGATAGTCTGTTCCAGTCTTTCAAAGAAATAAGAAACCTTTAAAGTGTGAGTAAATAATTAAAGGTTATAAATCTTTTGTGACCAGGAAGTAAGTATCAAAAGCTACAGCAGATAAATTTAAAATATTCTCAGAAACTAGACTGCATAAGAAAAATGACAGGTAAGTTATTTACTTATTTTTTACATCAGTTGAATTACGTATGTTGAATTAATTCACAGGGTTTGTAAACTATAAATTTGGCTTATTATAATGACATTCAGATATTTGAGCAATCCTGGAAAACCAGAGTAGTGACTAATTATTGACTTCTTTACCAATGTGTGGCCTGATTACTGGAACAAAAATTTAGGCTCACAGTGTGTGAACTAGAGTTTCATGTGTGAACTAGAGTTTCATCAGAAATACTACCAAAATATTTTTCCTTTT